AGGCGTCTGCTCGGCTGCAAGAGTCCCTCATGACAAGTGGCAGACCTGGAAGAAGCTCCTGGCTCCTGGCATCAGATCTGCATAGCTCCAGCTGTTGCAGCCTATTGGGGAGTGAACCGATGGATGGAAGACCTCTCTTTCTCTCTGCCTCTCCTTCTCTCTCTGTGTAACTCTTTCAAGTAAATAAATACATCTTTAAAGAAAAAAAAAGGCATTGGCCATCGTGCCTGCGCACCCCTCCCACAGCACAGCAGAGTGCCCAGGGGGGCAGCTGCCTGGCCAGGGATGGCCCCTCCCAGTGCCCTGGCATCTGGGCCCCTGGGAAGTCTGACTTTCACACTTCACTTCGGGGCGAAGGGAGCGCTGACATAGTTGGGGGAGCCTGGAGGTTGGTGGTGCCAGCAAGCGCTGGGGTCCCCAAGTCGCTGTGTGCACTTGTGTGAGCGAGACCCCAGCGTCTCCTGTGTCGAGCCTTGGGCACTTGGGGCCCCCTGTGCCGCAGAGCGGCTGACAGGGTCTCAGCTAATGCCCTGTGCAATGCGCTTCCTACTGCGGGTCCTGGGGAAACCGTGCACACCTGCTGTGTGCCTTATGTTTCAGCTGGAGAAGGTGAGTGTTGGCTCCTGGGGAGTGGGCATGGGGGAGGGGAAGGGGAAGGGGAAGGGGAGCCCCACCCTGCAGTTAGGAGAGAAGCCGCAGGCCCTGGCCACCTGCTGTCCTCGGGCTCCCACACAGTGCCCCGCCTCCCCCCAGCAGCCCGGGGACAGGAAGGGCGACCTCGGTCTGGCCCTGCTGAGCAGCTCACCTGGCTCCCGCCGTGGGCTCTGTGGTTAGCATCTCCGGCAGCACACGGACATGCAGACTTTCTCTGAAAGTTGGGGTTTCTCTGAATCTCGGGGCCGCAGAATTCTGAGAAACCCGGCTCCGCGGCCCCGCTGGCTCATGTGCGCACCTGCCTGCTCAGCCACACTGCTGGGCCCTGGTGCTGCCCTGGCCTCCCCCGGAGCCACCACCCCCGGACTCGAGGCCACCCCAAATCCTGCCAGGCACTTGCTGGGGGGTGGGGGCTCACCAGCGCCCCTCCCCCATGATGGGAAGTATGAGTCACTGCAGGTGACAGCCGGCCCAGGGGCTGGTGCTTACCAGACAGGACCCATGTGTGACAGTTCCTGGAAGTGACTGCCCTTGCAGGTGACCGCCCTTGCCACCCGTTTGGCCCCCGTCTCACTTCCCAGATGAGACAGAGGCCCTGGAGCCTGCCCACCTTGCCCAGGGGCCCCCGTGGGCTGGCTGAGGTGGCCACACAGTCTGGCACCCGGAGGCCGTCACTCAGCAGGGCTCCGCACTGGCGCGCGGCAGGCTCCAGTGAACCAGGGTGGTCTCCTGGTCTCCCTCTTTCTCCAGTCAGAGCTGGGCTGGTCCTTTCCCTAGGCGGGACATCTCGGGGAAGGAACTCAAAGAATGACAGAGTTTGAGGAAAAACCTGGCACAGGCTGGTCCTTAAACCTGGGGACCCAGGCCCCCAGGTCACCTCCACACACTGCTCCCAAGTCCAGTGCAAGGGAGGCTGGGAAATGTGGCGTAGCCCCTGGGGAGAGGGAGTGGCTTCCTGAAGAATCTGTGCCACGCCCTTCCTGCCAGAGTGATCTCCTCGCCTCACTGACTGGGCTGCTCCCCCCTGGGACCGCAAGCCACCCCCACCCACCCAGGACAGGGACCTCGGCTGCCTCGTTCCAGACACGTGCCCAGCCCCGTGCCCGGGGCCCTGCACACAGCAGGTGCTCACTAAATACATGCAGGCGAATGACTCGCTAAGGCCCGGGAAGGGAGGTGAAAACTGGACTGGGAGATGAATCCCTCCAGTGGGGGTGGGAAAGAGGTACAGTCCCAACACGGGTGAGCTCAGGGGAGAAAGTCACCCCGGCCACCTGGCCATCGTCCCCAAATGCAGCTTGAAAACATCACCATTTATTCTGCTCGTGGCTCTGTGACTTGGGCAGGCATCGGGGTGCACACCTGGTCTCTGCTCTGTGCAGGTTGTCCGTGACAGACACCTGTGGGAAGGCTGATCTTGGCTCCCTGTCTGGGAGGGTCACACTCGCAGATTGGGTGGTCCCACTGGTCTGGGGGCTGCTCAGGGCAGTGGGCGCCGGAAGCTGCACGGAGGGAGGAGTCTGTGGGGACGCAGGAAGCTCTGTGGAGCCCCCGAGGTTCCCTCACCTAACCCAGCCTAATCCCTTCCCAAGAGCCCAGCTTTGGACCCCGCAACTGGATGAAGTCTCCACCCTGGATCCATTAGCTGGGGACCAAGCTGCCTTGGGGACACTCAAACGGATACCCCAACTACAGCAGGGCCAGAGGAGCCACTTGGACAGTGCTGCCGGTTTCTCCTCCCCCCACAGCCCATTGCAGCTTGGCCATGAAGCTGAGTGTCCCCAGCAGCTGCCGGGCTCCTGAAGGTGGGGGCCCAGAAAGTGGCACTGGTCATGCCCTCCATTTTCCACTGGCTAAGGAATCAGGGCCGAGATTTGAGAGGCTTTGGATGGACGGAGTGCCCAAGAGTCTGGCAGGTGTTCGGAATCATCACTAGAGAGGTGTGAGCTGGGGCTGACGCAGGATTGGGAGGGAGCCTGTGGTCTCCCCGGCATGGCTGCTGCTGCCTTAGGGGTGCTCTGAGCACCCTGAGCCCAAGGCTGATGGGCACGGCACTCTGTATTCTCCAAAGGTGGCCACAGCAATACTTCCGGAACATGGCCCTCGCCAGCAACAAGTGGGTGTGTTCTTCCCCTTGGCCACCATGCTGAGTGAGGTGTGGCACAAACACTGTGAAACTTTCGGGGCTGGTTCATGGCTTCTCCCTGGTGCCCACACCTGCCTCCTTCCCGGCCCCCAAAATGAGCTCTTGGGGCACCACCCACGTGGTGAGGCCAGGTGGGTGTCTGTCTGACAACCCAAGCTAAGGTCCCAGCATCAGCCATCAGACTGGCAAGCAAACGAGCCAGTCCTCAGCCTCTGGTCTTCTAGATAGAGCAGCCCTGCTGTGCCTTGGCTCAGCCCTGACCCACATAACCCATGAGTGTAGCACATGGTTGTTTTGTGGCACAACATCTGGGTGACTTGTCACGCAGCCACCCCAGTGGCTGATGACGTGTAATAAAGTGGCACACTGGACAGCGGCTCTATGGACAGGTGTCCAGTGGTGTCTCCCAGGATTCGGCCTGGCCACTGAAGCTGCCATTCATCGGGTGATAACAGGACAGCAGGGCAAGGTGTTCCGGGCAGAAGCAGCAGCAGGTGGAGGGATAGCTTCAGTGGGAGGAAGACTGGGCCCTGGACCCCAGCCCCGTGGGGCGGTGCCAGGAGCCAGCTTCCATCTGGAGGGGTCAGAGGAGGCCTCTTGGATGGATCCAGGTGAGGGGTGGGCTGGGTAGAGGGGCAAGGCCATTGGCCAGGCCTGGCGAGTGGGCACAAGGCCTCCTCTGTGGTGAGGTGGGGAAGGGGCTGGACCAAGCCATGAGGTGGCCCAAGGATGGGAGTGTCTGCAGCAGTGGGGCTTGGTGTGGACAGCAGGGTGGCTGCAAGACCAGGGGCAGGCACAGCCAAGGCAGGAGGAGGGAGGGTGTCTGTGGAAGCCAAGGATGGCGTCGGCAGCGCTGTGGGTGACAGGGGGACCTTGCTGGCTGCACCCTGTGCAGAGTGACATCACTCGGACTGGCACCCTTCCCGTTAGAGATGGGTGACTAAACCTTCGAGAGACATGGAGCGGTAGTGTGTGCTGCCAGGGGGCCTCAGGGGGCCTCGGGCTCCACCTAGCCCGGTGCACCCTGCTGAGTTTCACTGGGTGATCCAACAGCATCAAGTCTTTACTGGGGGGAGGTCCAGCCCCCCAACACAGCAAGTGCCTGTGGGAATCGCCACCTGCGGGGCTGTTTCCAGCACCGAGTGAGCAGGAAGTGGGCTGCAGGAGGGGATGGCTGACTCACACGGGGCCCCGCCCCGCCCCGCCTCACCTCCGCCGCCTGCTGGAGCACTTCCTCTGCGCATGCGTGTACTCCTAATATAGAAACACGTGCCCTCCCAGCAGTGTGGGTGCGCCCAGCGCCTGCCCAGCCACACGCTGGGTTTGCCAGGGGGACAAGTGGGTGGAGGGTGACCCCGCCCCTCCCCCGGAGGCTGGTGTGTAGTTTCTGTCTCCAGGCCTTTCCCCCTTTGCACGAGAACTGCCCCTTCTCTGACCACAGGGTGGGGGCCCTAGTGCAGAGCTGCCACGCCCTTGCTGCTCGCCAGGGCCAGGGTGCAGGGGAGGCACTGGGAGGCCACCAGGCCCGAGTTTTGACAGCAGAACTTGTGGGGAGGGAAAACCCCCGCTGGCCTCAGGGCTCCACCCGAGCAACGGAGTCCCTACCCCCCCCCCCCCATCTTGTCATTTAGACTTCAGACAGCGGTGACCTCTTCTCCCCGCACCCCAAGCCCCACATTAGCCGTGTATGAGGCTACCAGAGAAGGCGGTGGCAATCCGTTGGGTGATTCCCGTGTGGCCTTGGTGGCCCAGCAGGCTGGGCGGAGCTGCCTCAGGGTGGGCATGGGCCTCTGGGAAGCCTCCAGGGTCCCTGGCCAGCAGCGGAAGGGATGGGACGCCACCACCTCCAGCGCTCTTCCAGGAGGAGGCTCTGTCTTTGAAGCTGCTCAGGGCTTCGCCGTGTGGTGGCTCTGTGCTCAGGGCCGGAGATGTGCCTGGTGTCCCACCCGCAAGACTCCCAGTGTCCCCAGCCTGCATGCAAGGAAGCCACCTGCCCCAGTCGGACAGGAGGGGCAGGGCTGAGTAGTCCATGAGCCCTGGGCCAGGCCTGGCCCGAGTGGTGCAGGGAGGCCGGGCGGCAGGTGCTGAGCCCCAGTGGCCTCTGCTCCCAGGCCAGGCCCTGCCCATCGTCCAGGCCCAGCTGACCAGGGGCTGGTCAATGCCTTGTGTTCCCACCCCGGCCTGGAACGAGTCAAACCACTTTCTCAGAGTCACATTAGTCTTTTATTATATCATACGGAGAGGGCTCACTTTGCCAAAAGGATAAATCATTGCTTAAATCAACATGAGTTCTAGCATAAAGGCGGGTGAGAAAAAGCGACAGGATAGAAATGACGCAACCGAGTTCTCCATGAATCAAGTCAATTGTGCCACTGCGAGAAAAATTATGACGACAACTTAACATCAACATGGTCTCCAGCCTGTTTACATGAACTTGATGCTTCTCCTCAACGTTGTAAAGAGGGAGCAAACCGAAGCCTGGCCTGCACGCGGGAGGCGGCCTTGCTGTTGCCACCTGTATCCCGCAGCCTCAGCCCTGCTCCGGGGCTCCCGGGCCCTGCTCCGCGGGTGCTGTCTGCAGGCGAGGAGGGCCCCAAGTCCTCCATACACACTCCTGTTCCAGAAGGGAGCGCTGGGGGCAGGTCCTTACAACAACAGTAACAGGAAAAGAACAATAATAAACGCGGGTCACCTAGGGTAGGTCGGCTCTGGAGACAGCGTCACTGTCCCAGCGTCTTGTGTGCAAGGCGGGTCCCGCGAGGCCGGGGCTCATTTGCAGGGACACGTTCACGCGTTCGGCAGTAACGTTCTTGCTTTGTAGGCAACGGTTAGCAGGGGTCATCTTTGGAAGAATAATCCAGTATAGTTACATGTAAAGCATTATCTAGCCCCTTGGCAGACACGTAATGTAGGCAAAGCAGTAACTGACTGTCTCTAGCCTGTAGCTCTCGCATGTACTGCACAGGGAAATCTTAACACAAATTTCCAATCGGATCACACAGGAATGTAGGAAGCACACAGGGGCATGTATAAAAAAAAAGGAGATGACAACGGGAGTTCATCTAAATGGTACATGTATAAAATGTTCAACTGCTAATAATCAAAAAAAAATCAAAACACAAAAAGGAATCCACTGATTACCACATTTGTTAGAGAAAAACAAAAAGGTTTCGTATATCCAGGATTTAAAAAATGTGCAATTAAAAAAAACCCAAGTACCTGAAAAAAAAATAATAAAAAGGAACATACATTCTTTAATAGCACTGTAACAAATACAAAATGCAAATAATGTTCAACTCTGAATAAAAGAAAGTCACTTAGGAGAGAGACAGTAACACGATTCTCCAGCCCCGTGGCCCGATGGGCATTTGGGTGTGGCACTGCCTGTGCCCGCTGCCCTGTCCTGCTTCTTTCCCTGGGGAGGGGTGGGCCAGTGGGCCCCGCAGCAGCCACACCTCCACCTCTGAGAACCCGCACCTATCGGGTGGCGCTGGCCCAGAAGTGCAAGAGGAGGGCCCGCCCCTTGGCTGGGGACTGGGGGCAGGCCTGGGCGATTCTGTGACTCCTGAACACCCACCGGCGACAGGGCCTGCTTGGCCTGGGGGGTGCCAGTGCTGCAGCCCTGCCCTTCTCACCTAGCAGGGAAAACACCAGCGCCTCCAAAGCCAAGTCCTGTGTCGCTCCCCCTCTTCGCGGAGGAACGACACAGGACCCTGCGCTGTTCTTTTGTCTGCTCGGCCCTCCCCGGGTTTGCTGCTGGTTCTTCCCGGGTTGGCTACCGTCCCTTCCACCTCCGTGGAAGGGCGGTGCCCCCTGCCACTTTCCCCACTTCCGCGGGGGAGCGGCACACCGCCGGCCGGCTCTCTCGGGGGCTGCTCAGATGTTCCTCAGGTGTTCCTGGTGCATGTTGTCTCTCTCCTCCTTTATAGTCCTCTTCCACCAATCCCAACTCTGCTACCCACACGCCGAGTACGCTGCTCTCCTCCAATCAGGAGCAGGATCAGCTCCTGCAGGTCATCACTCAAGTTGGCAAGAGGCAGCTGCATAGAAGTTGTTACTCCCTTCTCAGCGCCATATTGTGGGAGAGCAGATGCATAGAATAAGTCTTAATTCCAGTAACAGTCTAGTCTGAGTTGCTCCCCACAGTCCTGTGTGAGAAAAGTAGCCCTTGGCCGACCCTGCGTAGGGGTGAGGCTGCTCACCATATGCGACCCTGGCACTTACCAAGTGTGCTGCAGTGGATAAACAACACTGGCAGCAACTTCCTCGCGCCCTGCTGAGCGACCGCCCAGCCCGGGAAGGCCACGCAGCCCCGGCACCTAGCAAAGCAGTGATATGCTAGGTCCCAAGAACAGGCGGCGGCGCCGAGCGGAGACCCATGCAGGACCTCCGGCGTCCCATCACCATTGCATCTGCCGGGAGAGACATCGGCGGGCAGCAGTGGGAGGGATGCTTTTCCTTGCACCGCGCCGAGGCCTTGCATCCTCACTTGGTATCCACTGCGCGGAGGTCTTGCATCTTCCCCGCCAAGGCCCAAAGAGCCAGATGCCCTGGTACGGGGCACGACAGCGCCCCCTGCAGTCACCACCTGTCCCCGCAGGAACACCTGCTCCTGCAGCAGGGCGGGAGCGGCCTGCTCAGCGGGAATCAGCCCATGGGACGCTGTGTGCATCACTAAGCCAGCGCGCAGCGGGGCCTCTTTAATCTGTGCAGTGCTGAAGGCGCCAGCCTGTCAGACCTGCTCATGGCCACGGTGCCCGGGATGCAGAGCCCACAGTTGGGCACAGGCCCCGGGACTCCTACGCTTGGCTCCCAGCAAGGGAAGGGGCTGTGTGGGGATCCTGCCTCCCCCGAACATCTAGAACATTCTCTAGGAAGCCCTGCTCCGCACAGAAGGGATGCCGGGTTGATTCCCTGTCACTGCTACCTTAAAGACAATGGGGGACTCCGACGGGGTGGGAATGAACTTGGGTTTTTCCCTTGCTTCTTACTCGACAGGTAAATGCAGTCCCCAAACTAGAGAAACGTGACCAGCAAACAGACTGAGAGCAGCTTCTCTGGCAAAGTCGGGGTCATGTTTTCCTTCCAGGACGGTAAGGTCGCTACAGCTTTGAGATCAGTGCTGCAAAGCCTTGCTTAAAGACGCCTTGCTTTCCGGCTGTGAGAGATTTCAAAAGGTGCATACAATTGTTTTAAGGAGGAACCACGATGACCAAAATATACTTGGCCCAAGGACTGGAAACTTCTTCTCCAACAAACCAAAACTCTACCACCACAGCACACCTCAAGATGATTCCTCAGTGTAGACCCTGCTTCTAAAGTCATTTTAAGTTTCAGAGGGCAGCAATGGGGCTTCCCAGCGCACGCCTCGGCTCGTTCTAGTTTATTCTATCGGACTTGGCTCTGCTGTGCTATTTCCCAAGGCAGGGATGAAGTGGGCTGAGACACTGATTCCCACAGGGAAAGATTTCCTGATACCAACCAACATTCCTGTGCCCGAGGGAAGATCTGAAACCAACTCGTCTTCCCCGGAAACGTAACAGGTGGAGGTGGCGACTGCCTGGTTGGGGAGGGGGGAGAGAGGACAAGTGATTCTAACTGTGTTTTCCTGACAGTGAGCGTGATCCTGGGTGTGGCTCGGCTCTGACTCAGAGCAAAGGTGAGGTGGGGGTTAGGTGACAGGCCGGAAAGTCCTGTCTGCATCTTGGTGACCCGAAGTCTGCGTGCTTCATGGCCGTGTTGCTTCTCTCTAAAGGGTTCCAGAGGGCTGGGCCAACGGCAGTTGTAGGATAGGAAAGAAGCATTGGTTTCGGAGGGGTCTCCCCAGGGGGAGCCGGGGCTGGTGAGGGGGCGGCCGGGGGCCTGTGAGGCAGGACTGGGCACTGCGCTCAGATGTCCAGGGGGCTCACAATGGTGAAGCCGGAGTCCTTGCTGCTGTCATCGTCGGGGCTGGAGCTGGGGTTGCTGGAGGAAGCAGAGGCTGTGCCCATCAGCGGGTCTGAGAGGACCAGAGGGGAGCAGGCTGGGGCCTGGCTTCTTCCCACTGTGCTTCTGAGGGTGCGAAGAGGCTGGGCCTGGCCCGAGGAGGGCCCCTTGGCGCTGCCCGCCTCGTCTTCTTTAGAAACCAGGATGAAGTCGTCGGAACTGCCTCCATCTGGGCGCCCGGGCATCTCGGAAGAGGCCTGTGAAGCAGTTGGAAGGTCAGGTGGTGAGAGGAGCAACCGCAGAGAACCGCGCGGGGGCCCTGTGGGTGGACAGCGTCGCGTCCGGAGATTCAGGGTGCACCTGCTGCACGGAGCCCAGAGCCAGCAGGTGTGGAACCTTTAATTCTCTCATCTGTGAAACGGGGGGACCGTGCCTCCCTCCCAGGGTGGTCGCGGTGCCGTGAGTGCAGGGAGGTGAATCGGACGCTGGGTCTGCACTGACTTGGCTCTGGGGGCCCGCTGTACTGCAGCCCGGAGATGTGCAATGGCGCGCTCATCCTCTGCGTGACCGTGGGGTCTCCTGGGGTAACAGTGCTCACTGGCAGTTTGACAACTCAGCATGGCAACTGGAAAGTGTAACAGCAGAAAGTCCAGAGCTAGGACTGAGGTAGTCTACAATTCTTTTCCTCTCTTTCAAGCAACCAGGAGTGGCTTCTTATTTTTTAATGTAAATAACTTCCATAGCAAAGGCTCTGGGTGAGCAAAGCCAGAGTCTGACCACGGATGTCCTGTGCCACGTGGTGGCAAGAACAGGGCACCCACGGGGGATGTAAGTGGACGCTGGGCCCACGCTCGCCTCCCTGACCCCACTGCCTACTCTCTACATGATGGCGCTAATGCGGGGTCTGAAGTTGAAAGGAGCCCCTTGGCCACAAGTGTCCCCAGGCCTGCTGGCTGGCATGGCCTAGGCCTCCTGTGGGCTGTGTGCAGAGTCTAGCCTCTTGTCTGAGTAACAGGCCCCTGCCTGAACCTCACATCCTTCCTGGTGACATGGCTGGGGGTAGGGGGTGGGGTGAGGTGGCTAAATAATGGCTCAGGTGTCTTTGGTGAACTGATACAGGACTGCCTGAGCACCCCAGTCCTGGAACAACCATCACAAATTCGAAAGCTGTTCATATTCCATTTCTACATCAGCTGCCACAGAAGTGAGGGTGTGGCTCCAGGTGGTGCCCAGGCTGTTTGCTTAGGACTGACGTTTCTGGAGCTGCAAGTCAGAAACCCAGCTTTGTCGCCATTACTGTCCTGTTTAAGTCACACCGCTCAGAGCTGAGCCACCTTTGGGGAGCAGGCCCCTCCCCGGCCCGACCACTGGGGAACAGAGGGCCTCCGGCTCACCTCCTGTCTCCCGAGTGTGGACACTGTGTTTATGTGGCTGCTCTGTGGACAAGAACACCCGGGTCTCTCCCGGCAGCGCAGGGCTCCCGGCTGGAATGCGCTTGTGGGAGTTTATCTCGGGTTGAAGACGGGCGTGTACACTGGCACCCCATCTGTAGAGCGCTGTCTCTACCGCAGAGAGCACATGGCCACCCACAGGGAGGACGCTGGCAAGACTGCACGGGAGAGGCGCTCCAGAGCGCGGGTTGAGAAGGAAGTACCTGACGGTACTCTAATTAATCTGGCACGTTTCTCCCCAGTTCTCACACAAAGGGTCACAGCCTAGCTGAGGCAAAGCGAATTAGAGCTGACAGGGCGTCAGCAACCATTTTCTTCAATGAACCCTTTTGCCCTGCCCCTTAACAGTACAGATCAAGAGAGAAGTCCAGACCAAGGCCCGACGGCTTGGCCAACTCACAAACCACATTCAAGGACCCTACTCTTCCAGGCTCCCACCTAAACTTCCTTCCTAGACTCAGAGATGATTTCTGCATGGATTTTCACAGCAGCCGTAGCCCTGCCAGGGCCACTCACATCCCTTACAGAAATTTCCTTACTGCTAGTCCTCTCTTCTTGCCCAACACAGGGACGCACTGCACAATGAGCAAAGGTTGTCAACCTAAAACAGGTCAGGACCGTCAACATGCAAGGGATCCTCACAAAGCTCACGGAAAATGTATACTATGAAAAAACCCATGCATGGATTTCAAAATTCTGGGACCAAAATACTCATCTTTTAATTACACTTTGTGGAAACGTTTTCAAGTCCTCTCCCCCGCATTCCCTTCCTTCCGTCTGACCGTCTCCCCAAGGCAGCTCATGTTTCAGCTTGGGCTCAGGATCAGGGTGGGAGTGGGTGAGCCCACGTGCAGACCAGCACTGGGCAGCCCAGGACCCCCAACTACATGTGGCTGCCGTGACTGAACAACTGAATCTTCTAGTTCTATTAAGACGTGTAGATTGAATTTTTCAGTGGACACATGCAGCTAATGGCTATACTATCAGACAATACACAGATAAAAACATGCGGCCCGAGTCCCAGGAAGCTGCCGAATGCATCCAGGGTCCCGCAAGGTCCGGTCTTCCACTGCGTATGCTCATCAGAAAGTTTCCAAAGGAGCGTGTGGAGGACAGACACTGGGCTGGGAGCGATGCGGAGTGGCTTTTTCCACTCCCAGTATACACTTTCCCATGCCTGCTGTTTTGCTAACCTGCTGACAGCCATGGGGATGGGGCAGAGAAGGGGAACCCTTGTGGGTCCATCAGCCCAGGCAGGGGTGACCCGGTTTCAGAAGGGCTCAGGACGCTGTGCGGGGTGAGGCCCGGCTGGAACACGGGCGCCGTCTACTTCATCCCTCATGCAGCTCGGGGCCAGCTCATTCTGGGCACGCACATGGGGGTGCACTAGGGCAGTGGTGGGAAGCGGTAGCTTGTGACAAACAGGAAATCCAGGCAGGACAATTGCAAAGCACAGTCAAGAACACGTAACTCGGGCAGATTCACTAGTGTGCCCAAAAGGTCTTTTTCTGTAGTGAGTTTATATACTCTACAACCACGCTCCAGTTTTAAATAAACCTGCTGATTAAAAATGGTGGTGGGTGGGTCCGCGCACACACCAACATTTAAGATTCATTTATGAGTCAGTGATGACTGAAAAACACAACACCTGTGCGGCGGGGGGCTTGGGAGGAAGCTGCCACACTGTACTCGCAATGTCAGCGCTGCACGCACAGGGCTCCTCGTGCCGACTCAAAGCCCTTATACAGCTCCAAGACGTAGCTACCCAGAGTTCTCTCTTGTGGCAGAGTTCCCTAACAATGGAAAATTCCGTAGCCGGAGGCTAGCCTTTGAGGAAGTGGCTTCCACGAGATCTGGCTGGCGTTCCTTCTCCGGGTGGAACTTTGTAAGCTGATCTCTAAAAAACGTTGCCGGGAGTCTAACATACAGGCGGGAAGCGAGCAAGCCGTCATCTTCTCTGACCTACGTGTAGTGCGGCAGCTGGAGGAGCTGAAACTCACAGGGCTGGGGCTGGGCCAGGGACCCTGACAGCCAGTGCTAGGCGAGCTGGCTGCCCACCGCCTGGCCAGCCAGCGGCCTCTCTGGCCTTCGTACTCCTCACCTGTAAAACCAGCAGACGCACCAAGCACGTGAGAAAGCACTAAGATCCTCCCAGCTGGAAACCGTGTGCTCTGTTAGGATAAATCACTCACAGCTGGGACACCCGAGCGCACAGCCCAGAAGCGCTGCACCTGGCCTTGGTCTGCCTCTGTATGGCCCCGTGCTAGGAGTGATTTCTACAATTTTAAAGGGATGTAAAACCAAACCCTGAAGAAAAACAAAGAACGGGTGACAGAGGTGGCCGTATGTGGCCTGCGAACCCCAACACACTTGCTAGCTGGTCCTTTTATAGAAATGACCGACCGCTGGGCCTTGCCTTAGGGGACCTCACTGTGAGGACAACAAAGGCGGTGTCGAGAAGGGCTCTGGCCAATGAGATCCACTCCAGACAGCCTTAGGAAAACGTGCACGGGACTTCCTGTGCTTAGGGGGATGCAGGCCCCTGCGGGGAGTATCTGACCAAAACCCGCGCCAAGACCTGGCTTCCCACCTACCTGCTTAGAGGCCCCGGGCCCCGGGCCGCTGTGGTCCTGGCCGCTGGAGCAGTAGTGGTCGTCGGCGATGGTGATCTGCTCGTTCTCCTCCGCCTCCAGCTGGCTCTGGTTGAAACGCAGGGAGCCTTTCAGGATGTCTTTGATCTGTTTGCAAATAGGAAGGAAATAAAGGAAAAAGAGGAGTGAATTTGTGAGTGCTAGGTAAACCAGGTAAACCTCCCATACTTTTAGACCACCTTGCACTGACCATTTTTAAATGCTATGGATGCTAGCATTTTACCATAAGAAATACTGGAGGGAAAAAAAAATCCAACCTTGTCAAAGCTGCTGACTTAGCAATGAGCAAGGTCAACGTGAAGGCACTGATGGCCAGGTTCTCACAGGGTCAGACGTGGGTGCCACACCCTAGGCAGTTACTTTAGCACCGGTGGCCTGCACACCCAACCCCGCCCAACAGCCTGGAGCGCCGGGGCGGCCCCATCCCAGCTGCGCATGTCTGGAGCAGCACACTCTCGTTCAGGGGTATCTACGGCCCATTCAGATCTGTCAGGGCAGGGGCAGGGTGAGGTCTGAGGCCAGCTGAGGCCACAACTTGTGCTCCGAGGAGATGCTGGGCCCCAGCACACCTGCCCTGGGTTAGGGACACACAGAACGGGTTTGGTGGAGACGGGGGTAGTGTGGGTCATGGGAACCCCATGTGGGTTGCGTGTTGTCAGCCGTGATCGCTGGAGAAGCAGAGGCCTAAGGAGTGGGGATTCAGCAGGGGTCCTGTCTGGGATCCTGGTCCCCACGCCCTGGGGGCCCCTCCCACAGCAGGCACTGGGCGGGCAGCCTGGGGGGGGGGCCCAAAGCAGCAGTGTCCCTGTGGTGCACGTACCTGCTTCAGTCCTGCCAAGGAAACCAGAATCTGATCTTCTTTTTCCAAATTTTCTTGCAATATCACATCTTGAATATTTACTGAAAGCAGAAGGACGACATTCTGTGACTGAAGCTCTGGGTCTAATGTCTGGCTGAGTTTCCCCACCACGAGTCCCACCAGCCGTGCTCTGCCAGCGGGAGCTGCGGGTGGAGCAGAGAGCGCAGCCGTGGGCCTGGGCCGCGCAGCCTCCCCGCCAACATTAAGCTGCGACCATGGCAGGCGTGGCTGCGCTCGCTGCGGGGCGGCTGCAGTGCCCAGCTGCCCTCAGGGTGCACGGGCGAGGGGCGCTTCCAGAGGAAGGGCCGTCTCACCCCCTCCCCGACCAGGAACTGAACTTCATAAAGAGACGGTCTCTAAGGACTGAGAGCAGGAAAACACGCTGCCACGTCAGGAAAATGCGAGGTCAGGTTGTCCCTGGCGGACGCCGCCTGTGGAGTGCACAGGGGCTCGTTCCTCCAAGCCACCTTCCGACCCTTGGGCGCCCCCACAAACACGGCCAACCCAGTGAGGCGCAGTCCGCTGCAGGTGCCGGTGCACAGGACCCTACAGGGCTGGGGCTCACGCAGTCACAGAAGCAGTGGGGAAGGAGGGTGAGACCCCGCCCTGCGGCGGGTGTGGGAGGGCTTAATGAAGACAGTTTAATAAAAACGCTGACGGGCGCACTGATTTGAGAAGCAAGATGGTAAACAGGTGCACACTCCATTAACAGTTCTGCTTTCTTATTTTCTATCAGTTTTGAAAAAAAAAAAAGTTCCCACTTGTAATGTCTTACAAGCTACTATATATATATATATAAAGATTTATTTGTTTATTTGAAAGTCAGAGTTACACAGAGAGAAGTGGCAGAGAGAGAGAGAGAGAGAGAGAGAGAGAGAGAGAGAGAGGTCTACCATCCGCTCATTCACTCCCCAATTGGCTGCAATGGCTGGAGCTGTGCTGATCTGAAGCCAGGAGCCAGGAGCTCTCTCTGGGTCTCCCACGCAGGTTCAGGGACCCAAGGACTTGGGCCATCTTCCACTGCCTTCCCAGGCCACAGCAGAGAGCTGGATCAGAAGTGGAGCAGCCGGGCCTTGAACTGGCGCCCATAGGGGCTGCCGGCACTGCAGGTAGCGGCTTTACCCACTATGCCACAGCGCCGGCCCCTTTGCTACTGTATTCTTAGATGTTCACTCAGCTGAGCTGCTGCAGTCTCCGCCCGGGCCTGCCGGACTCCACGGCTGCTCTTGCACCTCCCGGCCCTTACGTCGCCCGGGACTGCTCAGCGCCTCCCGGAGGTAGACACAGAGCCAGCACACCCTGTCCTGCTAGCCCAGGAAGAGCGACAGCCCCCCTGACTGGCAGCTGTCTGCTCCAGTGCTGCCCCTCAGAGCGGCCTCGTGCCCACTCAGACGAACGCAGCCCCCAAGTCACTCTGTGGTCTCTGCCACATCGTCTGCTGTGCTGTGGTTGGGAGCCTTGTCATTGGCTGGCACCTGCTGGCTCGTTCATTATCCTTCTCCCGCTGATGGGACAGAAGTTCCAAGACATTCTTGCACTCAGGATGTTTGCTGTCCGGCCTTACAATAATTCCTGGTGCACTAACACGGTTAAGGGTGCCTTAGTGCCTGAACGAATGGAAAACACTCTCGGAACTTGCGTTTCAAAACACGGCCCTTCTGAATTTTTCCAAAAAGTCTTTCCAGTGAGGAGCAAGGCGAAGACTGACACTGTCCACATGCTGCTGCCTGACAGCCCACTGGAATCTTCCAGCGGAACAGGTCCCGAGCCCAGGCCGCCAGGGCCCGTCCCCGTGGCACACGGCCGCCGCAGCAGCTCCTGCTGCTCAGAGACCCTCACTACAGTTTTTGGCAATAGCTGGGCCTGCGCCAACGCACGACTGCAAGTTGAATGGGAATGGAATAGACACAATCAGAATGTTTTTGGTTTCCTTAAAAGCCCTGTAACAACCTGTTCCCTCTCAATAAGAAAACAAAACCAAATCTACTCAACAAGGTACTAACAACAACCAACTGCAGGAAATGGACAAAACCCAGAGCTGCAGGTCTTTGCGAGGATTGAGAACGGCCACCTTTAGTCTGTCCGACTGCTGTGGCTTAAGAGACAGAGTGGAGAAATTACCTGCGGGCATTTGCTCAGACAAGATGGTTAACCTCTGAGAGACCCAGCTGCCTTCAACTGCCAAGTTCAAACCCCTGGACTGCCACGGCAGGAATGGAACCTTACAGTCGGATTTCTGATCACCTGAGTTTGGAGATGCAGATTTCCTGCGTGAGAACTTACAAAGATGCTGCCACGCTGTGTGAAAGCCCACGTCCCAGGGGTCCCAGCCACCTTCTGTGGGACGCCCTGTTGGGCTGGGAGCCTCCCAGGGTGGGCTGAGAAGGAGTGGGCATGAGGACAACAGACATCAAGGTGTGTTGGGAGCACGGGACACAGACAGCTCAAGGCTTAAGTGGGAAGAACGTTCCGTGCCCCGAAGTTCCTTCTGTAGGCACTGTCTCTGGACCAGCGGGGTCCTCACTCCTGCACCAGCTCTCAGGTAGCAGGCGGTGGGGGCTACCTCACCCCCTGCTCCTCTCCTTCCTCACAGGCCCACCTCCACTGGATTCAAGGCAGCACTGGGCGGTCCTCTTGCCACAGACGAGGTTGGCCACGTGACAGGAGCCTGGCTGAGGCGTCACGGAAGCCCCTGGAAGGCACTGCTGAGCAGTGCCTTGGCCGGCGGGGGTCAGGGACACTGACTCAGCACCTGCCTTTGGTCTCTGCTCTTGCCCCTCCTCCTGCCCGAAATGCAGGCCGGGAGCTCCGCAGGTCATCTTGCAAGCACGTGGTTGAAGACCACAGCATAAGAAGGAGTTACTGAACTCCCTTGTGCCTGAAGTGTAATAACCCCACCTTGTAGGATCACTGTCAAGAGCAAGAGACACAGCACAAGCTAAGTGCTCGGGACAGTGCTGCCCCTGTAGCACTCAGGACTCGGAATTCATCTCCGCGTGGCCACCTGACTTGGCTTACCATCCAACAACCATTCTCCATGAGAACCATCACTGCTGCAGGAAAGGGAGCCAGGCTCAGAACCGCAGGGTCTGGGATTTGAGGTAACGCAAGTGCCAAGTGCTGGAGGTAGGACTGGAATTCAGATCTGTGATTCCCGAGCCACCCCGCCATCAGGCAGGCGGCACTAACAGAGACGGGAGATAAGAAGAGACGCAGCAGGGAGCCTGCACTACGCTCACTGCCTTGCCACACTGTGACCTTTATTCCGGGGTGGAGGCGACCGAATGTATAACGTACAACGTACACGCACGATCCCTACGTGGCTCTCCTCAGTCTCTGCACGAAACAGCTTGTGAGCTCCTTGCTACCCGAGATCTTTTCAGAGCACTGGCAATGGCACCAAGCGCGTCAGCGTTGATGACCTTGGGCTATGACCTTCTGTGCCTCACTAACCCGTCTGCTGCAGAATGTCCTTGGGCGCATGAAATGGGTTAATCAAGGCTTTCTGCTTCTGGCACAGCTCCTCCCCGTCACTGTTCTCCCTTCCTTCCCTGGTGCCTTAGACACCAGCAGCTGGATTCTGCTCTCTGAGGCTTTTCTCACCTCTGACAGAGGCTTAGTTACACTGAGCTTTCAGATTCTCACAAAGGGCCTTCCCCAGATTCTGACGAGTAACTGCGCGGGTTGTCACAAAACAGGGAGGTAGGACTGGGGGAGGTAGCCCAGAGTGGCAATGGAGGAAGAGATGGCCTCCAAGACACAGCGCGCATCCCTGTGTGCCCACGCGATCCCCACTTCCCCTTACAGAAGGGCCCTGCTCCCTACATTGCCACGTTCTGCCTTAGCTTCCTCAAAGGCTACCTCACAACTCCCCAGGCCCAAGCCTCAACTTTCTGTTAATCCCTGCTGCTTCATCTTGTACTGTTGGAACTGGAAGTCAAGGGTGAGGCTCAGAGACCAATGGCATCCTGAAGCTGCAGTTCTGAGTGGCAAACCCTAGACCAAGGTCTTCTTGTTCCAAGTGTGGTGCTCTGTTCCCCCAACCCCTACTACTTCCAGGCCCCACCTCTCCTTGCCAACGTCTGAGATCACAAGCGATGTGTCTCTGCCAGTGTTTCTCAACAGCATGATAGAGGGTTTGGCAGCGTGGCTGCGTCACATCACGCAGGGGCCGGCATGCTTTGCTCACGTGGCCTCTCTGCCTCTCATGACTTAATCACAGCCCCACCCTGCCCATCTAGTCTAAGCCAATCACTTCCTGAAGGCTCTGTCTCTAAAGACCATAGCTGTTAATACCATTAACCTAAGCCTCTGGGGATTACACCCTGCATGAGGTTACAGGGACAACTCACCTTGAAACCATCGCACCTGTGCCCAAGCTACCGAAGGCGGAGTGCCTGGTTTGAGTCCTGGCTCTGATTCTGAGTCTAGTTTCCTGCTAATGTGCACCCTGGGAGAAAGCTGGTCATGGCTCCTGACACCATGTGGGGGATCTGGAATGAGAGCCCATGGCTTTGGCCTGGCCCAGACCCAGATGTTGCGGATGCAACCTCTCTCTGTCTACCCCTCTTTCAAATAAAATGAAAATAAATGAATAAGCAAGCACGCAAGTACTTCGTAAACGCTGGCTGAGTGAACAACATGGAGGCAAGGGCTCTCCTGCTAGCATTAGGGCCAATTTCTATCTCCCAAGGAATAGAGGAAGGCGAGGTATTTCCAAATAAAACATTAAGGGGGTACCAATCTGACTTGCCAGACCCTGGAATGAGAAGTGATGGGTGCTGGCGAGGAGAAGAGTCATTGGTGGTCTAGCAGGTTTTGAGTCAGGCATTTCACACTCAGAATTTTCTTAAAAAAGCAAAACGTGGATTGCACAGAAAACATGATTAAGGATCCTATTTTGTATTCAGCTGCCAGAATGGGAGAGGACCTCCAGCCTTTCACTGGGCAAGGAATATGACTTAGGAAAATGAAAATGCAACGTAAGACGGGGCAAATACCTGTATCACACCAAGGGTCTGTCTTCAGGCCTAAACGCTTC